GTACCAGGAGGAGGAGAACGAGGACCACCAGGAGGAGGAGGAGGAGGAGGAGGAGGAGGAGGAGGAGAGAACACCAGGAGGAGGAGGACGAGCAAGACGAGGAGGACGAGAACGAGGACGACCAGGAAGAGGAGGAGGAGGAGGAGGAGGGGAGGGGGAGGACTACCAGGAGGAGGAGGAGGAGGAGGAGGAGGAGGAGGAGGAGGAGGAGGAGGAGGAGGAGGAGGAGGAGGAGGAGGAGGAGGAGGAGGAGGAGGAGGGAGGTGGGGTAGAGCACCAGGAGAGGGGGAAACGAGGACCACCAGAGACGAGGAGGAGGAGGAGAGGAGGAGGAGGAGGATGAGGAGGAAGAGCACCAGGGGAGGAGGACGAGCAAGAACTAGGAGACGAGAACGAGGACGACCATGAGGAAGAGGAGGAGGAGGAAGGAGGAGGAGGAGGAGCAGGAGAAAGAGGAGGAGGAGGAGGGGCAGGCTGAGGCTGAGGCTGTGACTGCGACTGCCGTTGCCGCTGCGACTGTCCTCGCGAATGCGACTACGACTGCGAGAACAGCAGAATTCGACAACTGGATTTTCATCTGAATCTTAAGGGGAATGCTTTCAGATATGCTTCTACACATCGCTGTTAGGTTGCTTTGCCGGGATAATTTAATCCTGGCAGGCGTTTATAAACATGGTGTGGGGAGAGGGCGGCAACCCGAGAATCATGTTCCCGGGAAGCTTTCCGGGACCATGATTTGTTCGGCTCTCTTAAAGAGGGGGGGCTCTGGGGGCTTACCGAGGGGCCCTTTCTGGCCTTGTCGGCAAGCCTATTGGAAACATGGTTGGGGCGGTGGGCGGAAGCCCAAGGAATCATGTTCCCGGAAAGCTCTGGGAAATACGATTTACCGAGGTCTCTTGGGGGCCCGCAGGGGGCTTCCCTGGGGGGCCCTTGGGGGCGTATTGGGGCTTACGGGGGGCCTCTTGGGAGCCTCACAGGGCTTCTTAGGAGCCTCTTGATGGCCTCCGGGGGCGTCCTAGGAGCCTCTGAGGCCGGAGACCTTGAAATGTCGCACTCTTCGGGCCCTCTTGGGTCGCTCTTGGGGCTCTCTTGGGGCGCTCTCGAGGCCCTCTTGAATTATCTGGGGAGCCTCCTGGGCCGTCTCTGGTCTTTCCTTGGGAGCCTCTTCGGCCGTCTTGGAGCGATCTGAAGGGCCTCTGACGCCGTCCGGGACCGTGGGGAGGAGGAACATGCGAGAGCGCAAAAATGCGGGGCCCTTTGGAGGGGCCTCTGGAGGCGCTCTTGGGGCGTTTTGGCGGCGTCGTCGGCCGTCCTGAGGCCATCTTCGGCGTGTCCGGGGCCTCTTGGGGCTGTCTTGGCAATCTTTAGGGTCCTCTTGGCGTGTCGTGGCGTGTTTGGGAACGGGCCCGGGCAGTCCCGGGAGCCCTGGGGGCTGTTGAATGCTAGGTGTTGTCTTGGAGGCGGAGGCTGTTGAGTGCAGGGTGGCGCGTGCTACGCGAAGGCGGGCGAGCGGCCGGGCGGGCGGCGGGCGGGCGGGTGGCGGGCGGGCGGGTGGCCGGCTGGCGGGCGGGCAGGTCGGGATTTGAATGAATTCCTTAAGGGTGCTCTCTGGCAGCGGGAGCTTGTTGAGTACAGGGTGTTGCCTTGAAAAGGGGGGCTGTTGACTACAGGGTGTTGTCTTGGGGACTGAAGCTGTTGAGTACAGAGTGGTGCGTGCTACGCGGACGGCGGGCGGGCGGCGGGTGCCCTAGGTGGTGGGTCAGAGGCCTCATGGGTGTTGGTTTGGATCTCGTGGTGTGCCTGTTGGGGACGTCGTGAAGGCAGCTTCGCAGCTTCTCGGTAGCCATTTTGAAACCGTTGTGGGACCTCCTCGGGGCTGTTTTGTGGCCCCTTGAGGCCTTGTTTGGGTCTCCTGGGTGCCTCTCGGGGGCCTCCTGGGGCCTCTGGGGGGCTCCTTGGGGCCTCCTGGGGCACTCTTCAAGCGGGAGGGTCGAATTTTGGAGTCGTGGTCCCCCTCTTGGGCGCATCTTGGGGCCGTCTTGGGGCTCTCTGGGACGCCTCTGAGACCGTCTGGGGGCCCTCTTGGGCCGTCTTGGGGCGCTCTTGGGGGCCTATGGAGCCGGCCTGGAACGTCGGACAGCCGAAAAGGCTGGAAGGCCCAAATCTCTCCAAAACCTTCGTAAAATTGACGATGTTCGTCTCTTGGAGCGCTGGGGAGAGGCGTCTTGAAGCGTCGTGGAGTGCCTTGGGGGGGGTTCTCGGGCCGTCTTGGGCCTATCTTGTGCGTCCAGGAGCGGTCTTTCGGCGACTCGGGGCCCGCTTGGGCCGTCTGGGGAGCCTCTGGAGGCCCTCCTGGACTATTTTGGACCTCCCCGGCCGCCCCGTCCTCCCATGGGGGGTCGGGGCAGCTGTGTTGTGGGCCCCGGGCCTGCCCCCCAGGGATATATATATATATATATATATATATATATATATATATAAGGTGTGGGCGATGGTCAGATAATATATAAGTGTGTGTGTACATGTATATATATATATATATATGTATATATATAATATATACATATATAATTATATAATTATATGTGTATATATACATATATGTGTGTGTATGTGTGTCTATGCATATGTGCGTGTGTGCATATAACGTTTAACCATACATCTTGCTAGAAACACACTGTTTGGGGTCTACGCTGGTTAAAATTCTGCTTATGCCATTGTTCTCGTCGATGGAAGGGCAAACGAGACAGGGGAGTCCCCGTGGTGAAAGCTGCCAAAGGCACTCCACGTACGCACGGCACCGCATTCCGAGTGGATCCCAACGGGGTAGCTAATCGACGTCAAAAAACCAAGGAGTGCATCCGGCGAAACGAGCGTCGATAAGCGGAACCGACCGGGGACTGCACCAGCACACTGGAGTATCAACCTCATCTGGGTGGGCATCTCTCAACGCCCAAAATCCAAGCGGCAGCATCACCGACGACATCTTCACCGCTGGCCCACAGGACCACGGTCAAGAGGAGGAGGAGGAGGAGGAGGAGGAGGAGGAGGAGGAGGAGGAGGAGAAGGAGGATCGAAGACAGTGATCGAGGACCGAGGAGGGACCGAGGAGGGATCGAGGAGGGATCGAGGAGGAGGAGGAGGAGGGTCGGAGGAGGAGGAGGGAGGAGGAGGAGGAGGAGGAGGAGGAGGAGGAGGAGGACGGGCAGGCACGAGCCGAGCGCGAGCACGAGCCCGCCGCTGCCCCCGAGAGAGGCACCGCCCGGAGGCGGAGAGCAGCGGGCGCCCCGCGCGGCCCGCGGGGGCCTCCGCGCAGGCCCGAGAGCCGGAGCGGGCGGAGCGGCAGGGAGGCAGGGAGAGGGCAGCACGGGGAGCACGCGTCCGGGAAGGGAGGGGGGAGAGGGAGAAGGGAAGGAGGAGGGAGCAGGGGGGGAGGAGGGAGGGAGGAAGAGGCAAAGGGAAGAGGCAGGAAGAGGGAAGAGGGAGAAGAGGGAGAAGGAGGGAGAAGGAAGATGAGGGGAGAGGAGGGAGGAAGGGAAGGAAGCAGGGAAGGGAGAAAGGGAGAAGAGGAGGAAATGAGGGAAAGGGGAGAGGGAAGGGAAGGAAGAGGGGGAAGAGCCACGGGCGGCGAGCATGTCCGTGTCCGCGCCCTCGCGGCCTGGGCTCTGGGGCGCGATCCCGCGGAGGCGCGGTCGCGCGGACGCGTGGCCGCGCGGGGGGGCCGCCGCGAGCAGAGCGCGCCCCGCGGCCGCGAGGCCTCGCGACCCAGGGGCACGGCCCGCGAGACCCGCGGACACGGACACGTGTCTTGCGCCAGCGAAGAGCGGGGAGGATCCTCCTCCTCCTCCTCCTCCTCCTCCTCCTTCCTCCTCCTCCTCCTCCGCCTCCTCCTCTCCGCCACCTGCTGAAAAAAAAAGAAAAAAAAAGCCTCCTCCTCCTCCTCCTCCGCCGCCTCCTCCTCCTCCTCCTCCTCCTCCTCCTCCTCGTCGTCCTCCTCCTTCTCGAGCGGATGGGACGCACAATATCGTTTCCCGGGCGGTGTGGCCATGCCAGAAAGCGCCCGCCACGACGCGTGTGCTGCAAGATTTCTCAGTGCGCGCGTCGCCCCTAGGGGGCGACGCACACATAGTATAAGTACAGGGCAGTTTTGACACATTGGATTTTTACAAATATGATTTTTAATACACGATTAATTCATGAATAAATCGATGCATGAATTCATCGTTGTTTTTAATACTACATACCTGCGTTTTTAATACATGATCCGCACGCGGAGCATGTATTAAAAACGGCACTGTATGTTGGGGTGACGCCGAATGGAGGATGGGTGCGTGACAGTCGGCCCCGAACCGCGAACACATGACTGCCCATGTTGGACATACACTGACAACTCTGTGCCGCTAAACTTTTACCCATGAGCCACGTCTGCATCGCGGAGCACCGGGGGCCAGGAAGGGACAGCATGCCACTCCTTGACACAAGCTTTGCCCCGATTTGCGGCCGCCGCGATCGCCGGGGCGACCTCTAAGTCTGACCCGGAGGTGCGGTTCGGGGTACGATGCCACGCAACAGGAGGAGCAGGAAGAGGAAGAGGGATAGGAAGAGGAGAGAGAGGGGAATGGCATTCGGCAAGCCCGCGGGCAGGAGTCCACGAGGAAGCGGCGCTGGGAGCCTCACTCGGGCTCGACTTCCACCCCTCGAAGATGTCAGGAGGGGGGGCGCGGAGGTGGGAAACCAAAGCGGAATCCGGAGCAGGGCGACGGGGACGAAGATGCGGGCCCCAATGATATACACCACCACCACCTCCATTCCCCCTCCCTCGTCCAACCTGATCTTCCTCTCCTCTTTCCTGGGAGAGGAAGGGGATGAGGGAAACAGTGGTGGTGTATACCTTTAGGCCCCGTAGAAGAGGAAGGAAGAGACCGCGATCCAAGGGCACGAGAACACGGGCGGGAGCATGCGAAAGCGCATTTCCCCGAACCTGTCGTTATCGGCCTCACTCAGCCAGCCAATCCTTGTGTCTGTCTATCCGCCACCGTGTCTCCGCGATGTGGAGAGGCAGAATGCTATGAGCTGTCTTCTAAATTTCCGAGGGCCGCTCCCCCACCCCTACTCGCAACCACCGTCCAAAAATCAGACGTCCCCCCCATCCATCAGTTTCGATCTCCAGCACCCGTTTCGACCTACAGACGGCTTCAAGACGGCCCAACATCGCGCCAAGACGACTGCAAGATGTCCCAAGACCAGCCCAAGGACGGCCCAGCGACCCCCCTAAGGCTCCAAGCTGTCCCCAGAGGAGGCTCCCGGAGGCCCCCCGAGAGAACCTTCAGAGACGCACAACGAGACCGCCAACGATGCCTGGAGAGGCGCAGAAAACGATGGAAATCAGATGGGAAGCACGTGCGGTGTGCTTCTGATTCTGTTCGGCGGCTGCAGACTGCGCCCTCAGAAGCCCCCCAAGACGGCCCAAGGAGGGCCCCAAGACGGCCCCAAGACTGCCCGAGAATCCCCCATGAGCCCAAGATGGCTCCAAGACGGCCCCAAGACCCGCCCCGCGCCGCTCCCAACATGATTCAACCGAACCTCTTCGAGCAAGCTCGGTGGCTAGAACTATCGCGCCACAGACGGCCGCTAGACGACCCAACGGGTCCCCAGTGGGTCCCAAACACGGCCCCCAACAGGTCCACGCATGGCCACCCAGGGAGCCCCCGATCAGACCCCAGGAAGCCTCCTGGACGCCTTCAGGAGGAAGGAGGGAGAAGGAAGATTGAGGAGAAGAAGAGGAACGAGGAGGAGGAGGAGGAGGAGGAGGAGAAGGAGGAGGAAGAGGAGGAGGAGGAGGAGGAGGGAGAGAACGAAGCAGCGGACAAGGAGGGGGTGCTGAAGACCTGCGACAGGGTGGTCCCCCCAACCCCTCCCCACTCCCCCCCGGGACCAGGGCGCTGAGCTGGAGCGGGCATTGGGCAAACTCGGCCTCCTCCCAGCTGCGCTGCTGCGCTGGCACGGTGGTGGAGCTTGCCGCAGGCAGCCGGATAAGGGAGGCCATGACAACGTGAGGAGTGACGGGCTCGAGCACGTCGCGCACCCACCTGATGTGGGCCGCCAGCCAGCCCTCGCTGTACAGGGGCTGCGTGTAGGGGCAACACCACAGGTCGTTCCCAGAGGTGATCAGCAGCACTCTGGCACCGCGCGCGATGACCAGCTCCCCACTCCGCAGCGCCTCCTCGATCATCTGCGCGAAGCCTCTGTTCCGGACAAAGCCGACGCCGCACCGCATGTGCACGGAGGAGAAGCCCATCTCCATCATCTCCGCCTTATCCTGCTCCACGCGGCCGCTGGGACAGGAGGGGTCGTGGGTGAGGAACACGGAGTCGGACACCAGCACATCGAACCTCCCGGCCCTCTCCTCCTCCTCTGACTACCTACCAAACCACCCCAACCCAACCCGAAGACCCGAATTTGACCCGGATTTCGGGTTGGGGGGGGGGGTACGGGTTCCATACATGTTTTTGTCAATGTTCCCCGACCCCCCCCCCCACACTGGAAATGGAGGGCAAACTGAGGCCTTCGGTTTGGGTTGGGGTGGTTTGGTGGGTGGTGATCCTCGCGGAGCCACTTCTGGAAGTGGCGCCGGACGCTGGCCTGCCCCTGCAGGTTGAAGTGGTAGCCGTCCTCGTACATCCACCCGCGCTCCTCCCAGGGGGACCACGAGCCTGAGTATCGCTGAACCGATCCCCATCCCCAGCGGCGTGGCCTGGGCCCCACTGGCCCATTCGGCCCCCTAGATGGGGATATGGGCCGTCCCCTTCGGGCTTCGAGGGGGTGTATCTCCAACTGGGGTGGCAATTTATGTGGGGGTCTCGCAGGGGATGGGGATGGGGATCGGCGAAACGAGACCGAGAACCGCCCCAGTCCCCGAAGACGTCGGCGTAGATGTCTCGGACGCCGTGCCTGGCGAGGGCGGCCAGCACCTCGCTGGGCTCCAGCACCCCTGCGCCGCCGGCCTCGGCCCGGCCGCCGGCCTCGGGGGCCGCGGCGGTGGAGGACAACACTACGGGGGGGCGAAAGGGGGGAAGCCTCGAGGATGGGGGAGGGGAGGAGGAGGAGGAGGAGGAGGAGGAAGGAGGAGGAGGAGGAGGAGGAGAGGAGGAGGAGGAGGAGAGGAGGAGGGGAGGGGACGGTGGAGGAGGAGGAGGAGGAGGAGGAGGAGGAGGGGAGGAGGAGGAGGAGCGGAGGAGGGCGTGTTGAGGGAGAGGAAAGGAGCAGAGGAGGAGGACGAGGACGAAAGCGGCGAAAAGGAGGACCGCCGGCCTCTGGGGCCGCGGCGGCCCACGCGCCGGCCTCCCGCAGGGCGGCGGCGGCCGAGCCGCGCCGGCCGCCGCGCCGGCCGCCGCGCTGGCCGCCGCGCGTTTGCCACCCCCGCGGCGTCGCGCTCTGCCGCCGCCGCCTCCGCGGGCGCGGCGCCCACGCGCGCGGGCGCGCGGAGAGCGCCCACATCCCGCCGCAGGCCCTCGAGGGCCGCCGCGGTGCGCGCCTCCGCGTCGGCCACGCGCGCCTCGAGGCGCTCCACGCGCCCGAGGAGCGCCGGCAGCCGCTCGAGGCCCAAGACGGACTCCAGCGTGGACCGCAGCCGCGCCCGCTCCCCGAGACCCGGCGGCCGCGAGAACTTAGGTCACCTAACTTCGCACACTGCGCCCCGCGACGCGCGACGCACGATCACCGTCGCGCCCTCGCGCAGGCACCGTGGAGCAGGGCGGCCGCCCTGGCCGAGACTGCGAAGCGCGAAGCGCGAGGGTCCTCGCGACCCCCGGCGGCCGCGAGAACTGGTCATCTAATTTCGCACACCGCCCCCCGCGACGCGCGACCAACGATTACCGTCGCGCCCTCGCGCCGGCATTGCGGAGCAAGGCAGCCGCTCTGACCGAAACCGCGACGCGCGAAGCGCGAGTGTCCTCGCGCCCCCCGGCGGCCGCGAGAACTGGTTCTCTAATTTCGCACACCGCCCCCGACGACACGCGAACAACGATTACCGTCGCGCCCTCGCGCCGGCACCGAAAAAACGCCACGCGCGAAGCGCGACTATCCTCGCGCCGCCCAGCGGCTGTGAGAACTAGGTCACCTAATTTCGCACATCGCGCCCCGAGACGCACGATTGCGCGAGGGAAGGGCTGCCCGAAGGGCCGATCCCCTTACGAGTATCCGTCGATCAAGGCGGCAACGATGAGTGCCGGATTATGATGAGGTTCATGATGAAGGTTCTATCCTTCTCCAGTGTCCAAGAATCAGCGCGCACTTGCCAGTGCCCGTGAAACGAAAAGGGCAGCAGGCACAGTAAAGGAGAGGATAGGCACGGGGCTCCATTTTGAAGCCCCTGGGGCCCTCTGGGCCTCGTGAGGGTTGCTCGGGAGGCCGTGGGAGCCTCCCTGGAAAGCGTGGGGGCACCCTGGGCTACAGGGCAGTTTTTAACACATAGGATTTTCCAAAATATAGGATTTTCAATACATGATTAATGCACGAATAAATTTATGCATGAACTCATCGTTGCTTTTAATACTAAATCCCTGCATCTTTAATAGATGATCCGCACGCGGAGCATGTATTAAAAACGGCACTGTAGGGGGCACTTCTAGCAACACCCAATTTGCTATTCCTAAACGTGCCCAGACGGCGCTGGCACGAAACGTAATACTGCCGGCCCCCTCCTCCCCCCCTGGTAGCGCCCGCTATCGCCCGGAAATAAAAAACATTCTCGAACCGATCGCGGACCGATCTGTCGCGACCGATTTTGAAGAAGTCGGTCGTGACCGATGCCAGAATTTGAAGCAAAACTGGTAGCGACCGATCTCTTCGGCCGCGGCCAGAAGAGCCAGGCATCCAATGAGCAGGGCCCCGTCACCTTCTCGCCACGGCGCCTGGGTCTCTGGGCATTGTCAGGCTCGACGCCCGCCTCGTCCAGGACGTCCTCGATCGCGCGCTCTCGGGCGTGGCCGGAGGTGGCCCTGGCCCAAGGTGGCCCCAGCGTTTCCAGGGAGGCCCAGGCAGCCGCGCGAGCACCCCTCTCCAGGCCCAGAGGGCCCCAGTAGGGGGCCACATGCGAACCCTACCCCCACCCCCCACGATGTCTGAGGGGAAGGGTGGGGTTCACTTCGTTCGGGAGCTCCCAAGCGAAGTGAACCCCACCCTCCCCCTCAGAAATCGTCGGGGGTAAGGGTAGGGTTCGCATGTGGCCTCCTACCTAGGGGCTCCAAAATGACCGATGCCGCGAGGCCTAGATTTAGGTCGGACATGTCCCCCTGCAGGCGGATTGGGGAAGAAACATAAAAAATAGCTCCTTTTTTTTTTAAAAAAAAAAAAAAAAAAAAAAAAAAAAAAAAAAAAAAAAAAAAAAAAAAAAAAAAAAAAAAAAAAAAAAAATCCCCCAGAGTAAACAAAAAATAAGAAAAGTCGTCCCCTAACGATGTCTTCTGACTGCGTCCGAAATCGTACTCCTGTGAGGGGGCAAGCGCGACTTAAGCCTGGATCCCAAAAATGCTGCCGCCGCACTGCGGCTTCCCTCGCCTTCCCATGGCTTCTGCCAGCGGGACCCGCCTCCGCTGTACTTACTCCCGCCGGCCTCCCCCCCCCCCACGAAGTCGAGGTAAAACCGAAGGCGGGGCCCTCTCTCTGGAGCCCCCACGACAAAACTGGGGGGGCAAGGTGGGTGGTCAGGGAAGATGAGGATGAGCAGGAGGAGGAGGAGGAAGAGGAGGAAGGGGAGTAGGAGGAGGAGGAAGGGAGGAGGCAACCGGGAGGATGGAGGAGGAGAGGGAGGAGGAGGAGGAGGAGGAGGAGGAGAGGAGGAGGAGGAGGAGGAGGAGGTTAGGAGGGAGGAGGAGGAGGAGGAGGTAGGAGGAGGATGGAGGAGGAGGAGGAAGGAGGAGGGAAAAGGAGGAAGGAGGAGGAGGATTTTTTTTTTTTTTTTTTTTTTGTTTTTTTTTCTTGTTTTTTCCCTCTTGAGAGCACGCCCGGGGCAAGGGTTACCTCTCGGCAACCCCCGACGCTTCTCCGCCGCGGCGGCCGCGGCGGCCATCGCCGAGCCCCGCCGGAGCCCCGCCGTCGCGCGAGCGCGCGCGGGCGGGGGCTCGGGCCCGAGGCGCTCGCCCGGTCCGATGGAGCCCTCGGAGGCCCGGGCCTCCGGAGGTCAGCTTAGCTGACCGGGAGGTCACTTCCCTCCTTCCTCATCCTCCTCCTCATCCAGCCTCTCCTCTCCTCCCTGCTCCTCCTCTCCTCCTACTCCTCCTCCTCCTCCTCCGCCTCCTCCTCATCCTCTCCGCAGGTGCAACGTAAACGACTCGCCACTGCAGCCCGGCACGACGCAGCCTCTGCCCAACATCCCGCCATGCCTACGGGTGGACACGACGGGCTCCTCCTCCTCCTCCTCCTAATCCTCCCCTCTCATTATCTCCTCCTTCTCCTCCTCCTCCTCCTCCTCCTCCTCCTCCTCCTCCTCCTCCTCGGCTCCGGAGGCTCGGGGAGGGCCAAAGAGAAGTCCAAGCACAACGGCCCTCGATCCTCGAGGGGGCGAGGCGAGGCGAGGCGAGGCGAGGCGAGCGTGCGGTACCGGTGGGGCGGGGCCCACGTGGGCCGGTGCGGGGGGCCGGCGCCCTCAGCCGTCTCAGTCCTCGATCCTCGAAGAGGAGGAGGAGGAGGAGGAGGAGGAGGAGGAGGAGGAAAGGGAGGGGAAGGAGGACCAGAGTAAACCGATGCGCCAGCGAAGCTGCAATGGACCCTCCCGTCCCAGGTCCCGTCCGCAAGTGTCCTGCAGGTATGCCACTCTCCACTGCGGGAAGCGCGGCGCCACCTTGGACATACAAACACTCCCCGTGGGCCTTCCATGCAGGCGAGAGCCCCGTTTTGAAAAGCAGCTGCCCCCCTTCCTGATAACTATAAAGTAGGACCTATGCCCGAAGAACATCCCTCAAGAACATGAGAACCTCCGCCGGCTAAAACACACATCCAGGGGAACCCTCCCCAGGGTGCACAAGAACGTCCAACAAGCACGAAGAACATCAGGGCACCCTCCCCGAACCGACCTCGATCTTATGCCTCGGTCCGACTGAATGGAATGCGAAGGGGTAGGGCCACCAAATTCAAAGACATGTCCAGCGAGAGCTCCGTTGTGAAAAACGCAATTGCTGCACAGCTTGAAGCTTCGGGTCATAGAACATGCAGACGTCTCAAGCGGGAGCCCCAGTTTGAAAACGGACCGCCCTCCATTCGTGAACGATTCAATGCTTTGGAAGAGGAGAAGAAAGAAGGGAGGGAGGGAGGGAGGTGGGAGGGAGGGAAGAGAGAACAGGAGGATGTTTGACGTTGGATGTTTGAAGCTGTTCGAAGCTGTCTGTCCAATGCTCGACGACGTGCGATGCTCGAGGCCATTCGAAGGACTTCGACAACGCTCGAATTTGATCGAGGAGAGGAGCCGTATTGAGGATTGAGGTTTTCCACGTTCGTGGCCTTGTGGGAGACGGGACCTCTGGAGACACCCCGGATACAGGACAACTTTGAACACCTCCGAGGCTCTTCTACCGTCCGCGAACACAAACTGACTACCTACCAGACCACCCCAACCCAACCCGAAGACCCGAATTTCGGGTTGGGGGGGGTAAGGGTTCCACGTGTGTTTTTTCTATGTTTCCCGAACCCCCCCCCACTGGAAATCGAGGGTAAATCTGAGCCTTCGGGTTGGGTTGGGGTGGTTTGGCGGGTGGTGACAAACTGTGATCGAGCCTCGCGCATGGTCCAAAAATACTCGGACCTCGAACGGCCTCGGACACATCGGACGACCTTCCCACAGCCCGGCGCGCCAGCCGCGGCCCCCCCCCTCCCTTTCGCCGCGCTGCGGCTCCGCGAGCCGGCCGCATCGGTCGACTCCTACGCCTCAGGACGGATCCTGATGCTCCTGCTCCAGGGGGGACGCCAGCCATCCGCCCTGCACCCATATTTTTGCCGAGTCTGGGGGCAAAAAAAAAGTGGCATAAACAGAACAACTCGGAGGTCCGCGCGGATTTCTCGGATCGGCGCTGGACCCCCCTCCCTGGCGCGCGGAGCGCGCCAGGGGCGGCGCCGGAGGCGCCGCCAGGGGGGCCCCAGCGCCGATCCGAGAAATCCGCGCGGACCTCCGAGTTGTTGTGTATGTCACTTTTTGTTCCCCCAGAGTCGACCCTGGGCCCGGGAGCAAGGATCATCCTCAGAACATATGGTAGCGCCAGCGTGTGCTTGCCCACCGAAGCCCTCTCGACACGACGCAGGCGGCCCAGCGAAGGCCGACACACAAGCTGCGCGGCTGTCGGTGGGGCCGAACAGGATGGGGGGCCACATGCGAACCCTACCCCTACCCCCCACGATTTCTGAGGGGGAGGGTGGGGTTCACTTGGCTCGGGAGCTCCTGAACGAAGTGAACCCCGCCCTCCCCCTCAAAAATCGTGGGGGGTAGGGGTAGGGTTCGCATGTGGCCCCCTGAGGACAGGCACGCGCTGAGCCGACACACGTCCCGAACATCATCGAGTGGTGGAGACACCCGACCAAGGTCGCTGCAAGCGGATCGCTGGCATCACCCAATGCCTGATGCCTCCAGCATCCCCGCCATGAGCATCCCGCAGGGGCGCGCCAAAAAAGTGTGAAGAAAGCTGCCACTATGGCAGCCAATATCCTGGCCCTCCCCCAACGCGCCCCTCTGCACCTTGAGGACGGGGGAGGGGAGGACTCGAGCGCGAAGGCACAGAAATGGAGAGGGAAAAGAGGAGGGGAAGGACGTGGGTGACGGAGGAGGAAGGAGGAAGAAGGAGGAAGAAGGGGGGAAGGAGGATCCTTTGTTGGAATACAAGGCATGGAGAAAGAAAGGAACGGACCAGTTTTTGATATCCACGATCGAAGACCCTACCTAGATGGGCCAAAAAGAAAAAGGCTTGACTGAGACCCCGTCCCTGTTCGGGTGAAGACCTTTTGCCAAGCCTTCTCCAGTTCTCGCTCTCGCGCCTGGCAAACGAAAGGCCTCCGCGCGAAACACACCGCCCCGCGAGCCGCCCACCTGAGGCGAGAGCTCCACGACGCCGACAAGTGCGCGTAAACGACTCGCCACTGCAGCCCAGCACGACGCAGCTCTGCCCAACATCCCGCAATGCCTACGGGCGGACACGACGGGCACCTCCTCCTCCTCCTCCTCCTCCTCCTCCTCCTCCTCCTCCTCCTCCTCCTCCTCCTCCTCCTCCTCCCCACTCCTCCTGCTGCGCACCCCTCTTCCGCCTCCTCCTCCCTTCCTTTTGCTCCTCCCCCTTCTCTCCTACTCGTCCTCCCCTCTCCCCCTCC